TATAGATTTGCCTTTTCTGGACATTTTATATAAATGGAATCCTATAATGTATGTCTTTTGTGTCTGGCATCTTTCACTTAGCATAATGTTTTAAGGTTTATCTATCTTGTAGCATATATCAGTCATGATTTTATAGCTGAATTGTATTCTTTTATGTGGATATATCATATTTTGCTTATCTGTTCACCAGTTGGTGAACATTTAGATTGCTTCCACTTTTGGACTATTTTGAATAATGTTTTAAATAACATTGTGTCTCAGTGTGTACTTTTTAAGTCTAATAACTTAGTTCCCCAAATTGGGACTAAATTATTCATCAGATGTGGCTTCTTCCCATCCTACACTTTTTTTTTTTTGCAGATATGGATGGTAGAGTTCCCACAGACAGAAATTAAGGTTGCTATTAATGTTCTAATAAATAGCCATAGGGGATTAAATCATCCAGAGGAGAAAAAGCTTGTTAATCTAATAATAGTCTTTTATTCTATGATGGCTTATGAGAAATTGTTAGCCAAATGCCCTCCATCTTCACAGAAAATAAATGAGAAGAATTGAATTTAAACCACAGCAAAAAAACACTTCAGACGGGCACAAGGAGGCACATTTTATGTGACAGTCGATATTATCAAGTTAATTTGCAATATTATAAAAACAAAGTTCATGTAATTTTCTCTGAGAGAAGCTTATATGAATGTGTTTAAATCTGTCTAAAGCCAGATGGCCCCTTGTGATTCCCTAAAAGGAAGACAGTTCTTTTGTGATACTTTTGCTGAGTAGTTAAAGAAGACATTTGGCTTTTGGTGTTCACAGAAGCCATTTCATTGTGCCTATGAGAAATAAAATCAGTTGTTGGAAAGTTTTATACAAACCACTCAGTGTGGCAGAAGACAGGACATTGCTCTCATGTCCTGGACAGAGCGATGTCCCCTTGCTACTATTCTCTCCCTAATAATAGCTAGAGTAATCATTATTCAATTCTAGAATTACATAATTTCCAAAGTAATTTCACATCTAATCTCCTTTTGACTTTACATTTGAGCTGTCAGTAGTTTCTACAATTATTTGTGAGAGAGACTCTGCCACATAGTAGTCAAAGCCCTTTCCAATTTGATTCCATCTTATTGATCTCTCTTTATCTCTCATCACTCCTAGCAATAGAGTCTCATTACATTGTACTGTTCACCATCTCTTGAATACCTCATATCCTTTAGCTCCTCTGTATTTTTGCTAGACTGTCCTTTTATATCCCTTATCTATTTGGAGAACTCTGACTCAGTCTCTAGTCAGGTCTACACATGATCTCTTCTATAGGTAAATGTTCTCCTTTCCTTTGCCTCAGTGGAATTCACTGATTCCTTTTTGCGTGCCCATACTGGTTTGGTATCATAGGACAGTGTTGTAGCTACATGACCTTGGATAACTAGCTTAACTTTTCTTGAATTTTTCTTACCTTATCTGAAATACATTTGTATCTTTCAGAGGAATTCAATCAAACCTAAATACTAAAATATATTACATGCAAATACAATAGATTAGCATTAATAGTAGAAATGTGAACATAGACTTCATATTATAATCGTAACAGTTTCCTATAGTTCTACTTGATTCTTGAGCACAGCCATCCTGCTTTATTCACCTCTGTAACCTAAGTACTGAGCCCAAGTCCTGATACATAATAAATAAGATTGAATCATTTAAAGTAAGCAAGGGAGATATTATTATTATCATTTTGTAGATTTGAAATTGAGACCCCAAATGCTAAGTAATATAATGACTTAATCATTAAGTCCTAGCTGCTTTTCCCCAAGTTCACCAATAGAACTTCCAACAACCCCTGGAGGATTTGTACTCTGACTATAACTAGTATTAAAGGTAGGATTTCTCAAAGTATTATCTGGGCTACCTGTTACAGACTGACTTCTGAAGATGCTTATTAAAAATATAAAATCAAATCTCAAAAATACAATGTTGAGGGGGGGAGGGGTGGAAAACCAGACACATAAAACCTGAAATGAAAGAGAAGACATTGCTACCAATTTTACAGAAATAAAAAGGATGGTAAGTACTATGAACAACTGTATGCAACAGATTGCATAAGCTAGATGAAATTGTCAAATTCCTACACAACCTACCAAGACTGAATCATGAAGAAGTAAAATATATGAATAGACCTATAATTAGCAAAGATATTGAATCAGTAACCAAAAACCTCCCAACAAAGAAAAGCCCAGGACCAGTTGACTTCACTGGAAAATTCCACCAAACATTGAAAGAAGAACTAACACCAGTTCTTTTCAAACTCTTCCAAATAATTAAAGAAGAGGGAATACTTTCTGATTCATTCCATGAGGCCAAAGTCAGATAAAAACACTAGGAGAGAAGAAAACCACAGAACAATATGCTGTATGAACATGGATGCAAAAGTCAACAAAATACTGTCTAACAGAATTCAATAGCACATTAAACAGAATTCAACAGCCAAAGTCAGATAAAAACACTAGGAGACAAGAAAACCACAGAACAATATGCCATATGAACATGGATGCAAAAGTCAACAAAATACTAGCAAACAGAATTCAACAGCACATTAAAAGTATTATATACCATGATAAAGTGGATTTATTCCTGGAATGCAAGATAGTTCAGTATATGAAAATCAATTAATGTAACACAGCATATTCTCAGAATGAAGGGGAAAAATCACATGATCATCTCAACGGATGCAGAAAATGCATTTGACAATATTCAGTACTCTTCCCTGATAAAATCACACAACAAACTAGAAGGAAAATGCCCCAACATAATAAACACCATATATGAAAAGTTGATAGCTAACATTATGTGCAGTGATGAAAGACTGAAAGCTTTTCCTCTAAGATCAGGGAGGAATAAGACTAGGATGCCACTCTCATGCTTCTACCAACATGGTATTGGAAATCATCACCAGAACAGTTAGGCAAGAAAAAGAAGTAAGAGGCATATGAATTAGAAAGGAAGAAATAAAATTATCTCTGTTAACAAATGATATGATCTTATTTGTAGAAAACCCTAAAGATCCCCCCTCACACATACAAAAAACAGAACTCATTAAGGGACTTAGCAATGTTACAGGATATGAAGTCAACACACAAAAATCAGTTGCATTTTATACACCAACAATGAGCAATTCTGAAAAGGAAACAAAGAAAACAATTCCATTACAATGGCATAGAAAAAATTAAAATACTTCGAATAGACTTCAAGAAGGAAGCTAAAGACTTGTGCACTGAAAACTACAAAGCACTGCTAAAAGAAATTGAAGAAGAGACAAATAAATGGAAAGATATTCCATATTTATAGATTAGAAGACAATATTAAGAGTCAGTACTTCCCACAGTGATCTACAGATTTAAAGCAATCCTTTTCGAAGTCCCAATGTTTCTTTACAAAAATAGAAGAATCAATCCTAAAATTCACAGGGAATTTCAAGGGACCCTGAATAGCCAAAACAATCTTGAAAAAGAATAACGAAGTTGAAAGCCTGACATTTCTTCATTTCAAACCTTACTTCAAACCTACAGTAATCAAAACAGTGTAGCACTGGTTTCAAGAAAGACATATAAGCCAATGGAATAGAATAGAGAACCCAGAAATAAACCCTTGTGTATATGGTCATATGATTTTCAGCAAGAATGCCAAAACCATTCAGTGGGGAAAGGACAGTCTTTTCAACAAATTGTTCTGGGAAAATTATATATCCACATGCAAAAGAATGAAGTTACCTTACACATATACAAAAGTTAACTCAAAATGGATCAAAGATCTAAGCATAAGAGTCGAAACTATAAAACTCTTCAGTGAAAACAGAGGAAAAACTTCAAGACACTGGATTTCTCAATGATTTCTTGAATATTACACCAAAAGCACAGGCAGCTAAAGAAAAATAGATAAATATGACCACATACAAATTTTAAACTTTTATGCTTCAAAGAACACTAACAACAGAGTGGAAAGGTAACCTCCAGAATGAAAGAATGAAAGAAAATATTTACAAATTGTATATCTGATAAGGGATTAAAATCTAGAATATTTAAAGAACTCCTGCAACTCAACAACAAGAAACCCAACAAATAACCAGATTTTAAAATGGCCAAAAGATTTAAATAGACACTTTTCCAAAGATCTTCTTTGGCCAGTAAGGATTAATACATTAAAAGATGTTCAACATCATTAATCATTAGGGTAATGCAAATCAAAACTACAATGATATTCCACTTTACACCCATTAGGATGGCCATTATTAGAAAACAAAACAAAAGAGAAGATAACAAGTATTGGCAAGGATATGGAGTAATTGGAACTCTTGTGTGTTGCTGGTGGGGATGTAAGTGGTATGGTCAATATGGAAAAGCATATGGTAGTTCCTTAAAAAGATAAAAATAGAAGCATCATATGATTCAGCAATTCCACTTCTTGGTATATACCCAAAAGAATTGAAAGCAAAGACTCAAACAAATATTTGTATACCCATGTTCATAGCAGCATTATTCCCAATAGCCAAAAGGGCAACCCAAGTATTCACCAATGGGATAATGGAAAAACAAAATGAGTATATTAATGCAATACAATATTATTCATCATTAGAAAGGAAGGGAATTCTGACACATGCTACAACATGGATGAATCTTGAAGAAATTATGCTGATTGAAATAAGCAAGTCACAAAAGAACAAATACTGTACGATTTCACTTATATAAGGCATGCAGAGTAGTCAAATCATAGAGATAGAAAGTAGAGTGATGGTTACCAGGGGTGGGAGAAGGGGAGAATGGGAGTTATTCTTTAATGGGTACAGTTTCAGTTTTGCCAGATGACAAAAGTTCTGCAGCTAGTTGGTGGTGATGGTTTCACAATGCAAATATACTTAATGCCACTGAACTCTATACGTAAAAATGGTTAAAATAGTATATTTTATGGTATGCATATTTTATCACAATTTTAAAATATTTAAAATTTTTATAATGAAAAAGTAATAGATGAAAGAGTCTGTACTTTCTGATTTAATTTATTTAAGGTGCAGAAATAAATCTATAGTGTTAGATGTCAGGACAATGGTTATCCTTGGAAGAAGGAAGTAACTGGAGAGAAGTATGAAGAGGTCTCTGGGGTGCTGGTGATTGTCTGTTTCTTGATGTGGATGCTATAACATGTATGTGTTCAGTCTGTGAAATTCTTTGAGCTATCCATTTGTGATTTATATGATACATTTTTTACATGAATATTACACTTCAAAAAAGATTTTAGCAATGTCGATCACAGACCCCACAGCAGACCTATGGAATCAGAATATCTGGGAGTGGGAACTCAGGACCTTGCATTTTAAAAATCTCTGTCCTAAGTTTTTCTTAGGACTACTTGATTTTGAGAATCTTTGCTAAAGGAAGAAGATTAGATAAATATTCTTCCAATGCCCAAGATTTCTTCAATTCTATCCTAACAATAAATATTTCTTAGAAAAGAAATTTTTGATTTCCTTGCATCATTTACCTTCTTCCTGTTAGGAAAATGCACATCATGTTTTAGGTGCTGAGACACAGGACTAAGAAATCAATGGCATAAAAATGCAGAGTTTAATATTTTTTCTTTAAAACTATTATCCTAAGGTGTCATACATACTATAACATATGACTATCTGGAAGAGTGGAAACAATTTTATTGAGGCCTTGTAAAATATGGCAGGTTCTAGGACCTCATGGAACTCAGGTATCTTCAGGAGGATGTGAAACATCACATCATGGGGCGTGGTGCAGTGTGAGAAGGTAAAGAAAAGCCAGTTCTTCCACATGTAAACACTTGAACTCCATTTCATCTTTTTTCATACCATCCCTAAGATTGCGGCAGCTTTCACATTTGCTTGTTAAACTGAAAGCATGTTTCTTGCAAAGGCTCTATTGGAAGGAGCAGATCGAGGTCTTGGAGAAGCTCTTGGAGGCCTCTTTGGAGGAGGTGGTCAGAGAAGAGAAGGAGGAGGAAGAAATATTGGAGGGATAGTTGGAGGAATTGTGACTTTTATCAGTGAGGCTGCAGCGGCTCAGTATACTCCAGAACCGCCTCCTATTCAACAGCATTTCACCAATGTGGAGGCCTCAGAAAGTGAGGAAGTTAGGCGATTTCGGCAACAATTTACACAGCTGGCTGGACCAGATATGGAGGTGGGTGCCACTGACCTGATGAATATTCTCAACAAAGTCCTTTCTAAGCACAAGGATCTGAAGACCGACGGTTTTAGTCTTGACACCTGCCGGAGCATTGTATCTGTCATGGACAGTGACACGACTGGGAAGCTGGGCTTTGAAGAATTTAAGTATCTATGGAACAACATCAAGAAATGGCAGTGTGTTTATAAGCAGTATGACAGGGACCATTCTGGATCTCTGGGAAGTTCTCAGCTGCGGGGAGCTCTGCAGGCTGCAGGCTTCCAGCTAAATGAACAACTTTACCAAATGATTGTCCGCCGGTATGCTAATGAAGATGGAGATATGGATTTTAACAATTTCATCAGCTGCTTGGTCCGCCTGGATGCCATGTTTCGTGCCTTCAAGTCTCTGGATAGAGATAGAGATGGCCTGATTCAAGTGTCTATCAAAGAGTGGCTGCAGTTGACCATGTATTCCTGAAGTGAGCACTGAGAAGTCAAGAGGAGGACAGGAGGACAGGACTGAAAACCTTGCCATGCTGTACGCAGTTGCTGATACCCTGTGCAACAGCTGTCATTTCCTGGCGAGCTCTTTCACAACCCTACGTATTTCTGATTGTGTGCTGCCTTTTACTGCTGAATTAAAACAGATATTTCATGAAAAATGTTCTGAGTGGTTTGTATATCAGCTTTTTGAGATTTGGATTTATATAGACTTACATATATATGATGGGGAGGTTGTGGGGTAGAGTTCTAACGGAGTAGATTTTAAAAGGTGTTGCTTATTTGGTGAATAAATTCCAAGGAGTAGGAACTTTATTATTGTTGTTATTGTTGTTAAGAATGAATTTTTTAAATCCTGGAATAAATCAAGAAAGCCCTCAGGAGATACATTTTCCATTTTAAGAAGTTGGGGAGAGAGGTTCAAAATCTGTTTTTCTTGTAATTTTACACCTGGTCTTTCCATTATGTAAAAAAAGGAAAAGTGCTTTTTGGGAAACTTATTTAACCGTAAAGAAACAGGTTCAGACAATGAAATTAAGCAGTTTTATATAAGGGTAGCATTTTTTAAAAATGATGGAGCTACTACCTAAAATTCTAAAGTTCTTTAATTCTGTTTCTTTAGTAAAAAAAAAAAAAGCACATAGCAATTTTGTTTTGTTTTGATACATTTGTAAAGAGAGTCAAAGACATTGGGGAATAAAACAGTATACTCATAGTTCAAAAATGTCTCTAGCTGCCTTAATGAATCAAAATGTTCGCTCTTACACGTCCTTCATACAAAATCAGGCATGCCCTGCTGATGTTAGCCAGCTCTTGTCGTGTCTTGTCCTGCCTTAGAGCAAGGAAAATTCTTTCGTTCATCTTTGAAAACTACAGGCAGGAAACAAGCAGCAAACAAAGAAGAAAAAAGAAAAACACATGAACAGTAATCAGTTAAATGGAATGTAAACCAATATAGAGAACAAATATTACTGACTATTGCAATTGTTCTCAGCCCTGGCTGCAATTTGGAGTCACTGGGAGAGCTCTTTAGGAATACTAATACTTGAGTCTCCAAATATGTTAAATAAGACTTTTTAGAAGTGGGGCCCAGAGATGAATATTTTTAAAGCTCCTCACGTGATTCTGATGATTAGCCAAGGTTGGCAGCCTCGATTGCTTTAAAGTAGGGCCGCCTCACAGTATTTTTCAAGCCTGTCTCAGCCAAAACTAAGGCCAAACAGGAGAGTCAGTGTTGCCAGCATTCAGGAGAAGGAAGATAGAAATACCAAGAAATTGCCACCCAAAAGCTGGGGTAGTTGTGCCTTTCTTGTGTACAGACCTTGGTTTGGCTTTATAATTTTGATAACAGACTATTATAGCAGAGCAAACAGAATCCAGAATCCCGGTGCCAGTAGACACAGCCAGAGAGGCTGCATTGTAAGTGCTCAGTTCCTATGTCTGCTATTTAATTGGTCTCCACCCATTCTGCTTCTCTAATTTTTAATGCATTGTCTCTATCCCAGGCTACTTTGGAGGGTCATCCCGAGTTTGCAGATAAATTCTTCCTTCCTCTTTGGACTCATTTAGAAGAAAGTTGTAACTATGGAAATGATGTAACTAGCCTGTTAACATCCTCAACTTCCTGTTAAAAATCCCTAGTGAAATGTGGAGAGGTTGGCTTTTGGCCTTTGTGTTCACCATCATCACCATCATATAATATTTATGAAACACCACACACATATAATTCTGAATGGAGCCAAGCACAGAGATCACATCCACTTTCCTCAAGGGACTTATAATTTAACCTTGGTCTGGTATGCTACTTAGACCAGGTGTGGTTACACAAGAAGGAGGCTGCTGCCAGCAACCACACATTAATATCAATCTCTCTATTTTAGAATAAGTCCAGGAATATGTTAGGCATGGATGTAGTAAAGTAGCCAAGAAAGGGGAAAGCTGCCAGACATCTTTTAAGGTCTCAGCATATTAGGTTTATAATTTAACCTTTCCACAGGATGGTTGTGGAAAGAACAGTGTAACCACATTTTTGTTCCTCACTTTATTGTAAATGTTTCATAAAAGTTAAAACAATCATCTCACACTAGGAGTAGTATTATTGCCCTTGCTCCTCAAGTTAAAGGATTACCTACTTTTACGATTCTCTTCTAGCATGCTCACGGAAAAACATCCCGAAATTACCTAAGTTTCTCTCCTGTTCTCTTCTGAATTTGTGTAAGTAACCTCAGATATCAGAGTGGATACTAGAAACTAAAAAATCTGAACTTTTCCCAAGTAACCAAATATTTAGCATTGTGCAGAACCAATAGCCTAGCAAGTGATTGAATTTCTTAGTTTTCATTCAATATTTGTAAAGGCACATTTTTAATGTTAGGAGCAATTACTTAACTTGACACCTTTTTAAAAATTTGCCTGTTCTGTATGCAAGACTATTTATAGCCTAAGATTTATATAAGATAATTCATATAACTCCATGCCATTATTTTCAAATTTCTAACATTAAGTAATTTAATCAGTGTAAATTGAAAATCATACTCAGTGATAAAAAGATGTGAAATTATACATCTACATTTTTAAATTTCAAAATATCCCATGTGATTTTGAAAAGTAACTTTATCTTGATATAATCCACTAAATTTTATAACCTATAAAAAAGGAAAAGAACCATGTGCTCTGTAACTATGAACAGCAAACTTCCAAAAACATTCAAAATTTGTATGTGATCTTAAAGGTCACTCTAAAAATATTTTTGTGTAGTGGTGCATGTGTTTTTAAAAGTTGGTTTATCTAGCTACCCCAGTCAGAAATCTTATCAGTACTGGCTAGACACGGTAGCTCAAGCCTGTAATCTTAGCACTTTGGGAGACTGAGGCAGGCTGATCGCTTTGAGCCCAGGAGTTCAAGACTAGCCTGGGCAACATGGCAAAACCCCGTTTCTACAAAAAAATTTAAAAATCCCCACAACTAGCCAAGCAAGTTGGCACACGCCTGTAGTCCCTGCTACTCAGGAGGCTGAGGTGGAGGATCGCTTGAGCCGGGGGGGTCCAGGCTGAGTGACACAGGGAGACCCTGTCTTGAAAAACCAATTATTTAAAAAAATCTTATCAGTAGTATTACACAACTACACATATAGTGGGGACTTAAAAAATATTTGTGGAGGCACTTACGACATATGGATATTTAATGTGCCTACTGATCTTGAAGAACCTTCTGAATTGCTTTTTAAAAATATTTAAGTATATTAAAACAATTTTATTCCTAGAAAATTGATACAATTTATATGGTTAGAAATGTGCTCTTAATCAGAATATTCAGTTAAATAGAATACTTCTTCCCATACTCTTCTGCATAACTGAGAATTTACTGTATCTTAATACTAATACTCCTTTCGATTTATAGAGTATCTTTCAAGATGTGAAGACTTTTTTTCTGTTGGTTGCTATCAAGTAAATTCTGTTTTATGTAAACATTTTAAAATTATTTTGACGACATTGATTATCTCTCATTTACAGGGATGATATATATCAGTTATAACACAACAAAGAAAAATAGTCCCTCTTCTTGAGAATTTATCATTGCAAAATGTATTCAAAACCATATCCTTACATTTTGCTGAACATAAAAAGTTATAAATAGTATCTAATTCCACATGAATAAAGATGTTGAATAAATTCAATGGTGACACAACTGGAAGGAACTGATACCTGAGAATCAGACACATGAGAATCACCACTTAGTTTTTCAAGAGTTTTAAGTGGACAATATTTGAACAAGTAGCCTAGAGCTTCCTGCTGGCCCTGAAAGCTGGTGTTGTGTGACTGAGCAGATGAAAGGTGCTGGGGGGCCATGAGCTCACAGTGACCTCCCCTCACACACACTTCCATGCTTTTCTGATCCTGCTGACTTCCAGGAAAGGGATGGGGCCCACTCTCTGGAGTTTCCATGAGACCATTAACTTTTCTCTTTGCATTATTTTTTCTATTTGCATTATCCAGTGCAAGTCCTTAGTTCCAACTCTGGACTTCTCTGGGCTCCAGATTAGGACAGGTTATGGAGAGGGATTATGGCCTCCCTCCAAAGAGCTGTTCTCCTTTGAAATGTGGCCCTGAAATATTTTCAAGTCTAGATTTCTTTTTATTAAGTTTATAATTCTTCCTGGGGACCTCAGTAGGTTTTTAAAGAAAAGAACCAAAGATTGTGGAATAATTCTTATCATGATACTGATTCAATATTTAAGAATTAAAAATAGTATATTTTGCTGTATAATTTTTATCTGTTTTGGGGTACATTTTATCAAGCCCTTTGCTTTAGTAAGCAGCCAGATTAACTAAATTTTAATTGCAGCTATGGCAGTAGTTAGTTTTGTGACCTCAGAGAAAGTTTTGTCTCATTTTTTTCATTGGTAAAAATGAAGAAGTTGAATGGATGATTTATAAGATTCCTTCCAGTTCTAAATTTTGTTATTCTGAATTTGGAATCTTAACAGTGTATTGATTTACTAATCCAATAATATAATCTCTCAGAATAATTTCCATGCTGCTTTTTCCTTCACATTACTAGGATGAAAACATTCATATACCCTCTCTTGTGATCATCTGCTTTAACATTCTTTGTCATTCAGAACCACTCATATGTTAATGAAATTAGAGGTCCAGAATATTACCTTGTTCTGTGACTAGTGGTAATGTTAAGAGTTTGTCACACTGCTATTTCTCCATCTGCAAAATGACTTAATGATGCTTGACCTGTGTTACACATAGGGTTTGGTAGTATAGGTAAAAACTGGATGTCTCACAATAAAGATACAACATAAATTCAAAGGAGTATTTCCAATTATTCAGACAATCTGTGATAGTAACTTCAGTGTCCATAAATCATTCTCGGATCTGTTCTTAAGAACTTCTATTTAAGACTTCTATGTTGCTTAGTGGAAAAAGTTAATTGCAGATGAAATGTATCTATGTTGAGCAATATAGCCATGTTTCAAGAAGCTCCTCAACCTCTAAGGCTCAATAAAAACAGCCCTCCAGAGTGCATAAGAAAATTAAATGGTGGTGGCAAAGATGGAAAAGATTTCCTTTAATACTCTGCCTTCTCTGAAACTTCTAGAGTGATGAAAATGTAGATACTGACTGTGGTGCTGGTTACCATGGTGTATACATTTGTCAAAACACATCAAACTAAGCTGGGTGTGGTGGCACATGCCTGTAGTTACAGCTCCTTTGGAGGATGACGTGGAAGGATCTCTTGAGACAAGGAGTTCGAGCCTGTAGTGCGCTTATGATCGTGCCTATGGATAGCCACTGCACTCCAGCCTGGGCAAGAGAGTAAGAGCATATCTTTAAAAAAACCAAAAACCAAAAAACACGTCAAACTCTACATTTAAAATGGATGCATTCTGTTGAATGTAAATGTAATCAACACAAATAAAGCTGATTAAAGAAAAGGAAAAACAAACAAACAAACAGAAAAAACAGCTCTCTGACAAACTGGTAATCAGACAAAAGGAAGTCAGAGGACCTGAATGTTTGTTTCAGAAATAAACCTTGTTCCTTTAGGGAAATTTCGAAACCTCTGTTTCTACCTTCTCTGGTGGGAAAGTGAGATTAAATTATTGCTCCTTTTAGTTTCCGCCCTGCAGTAAGATAAAGTAATATGGTGAAAATGATTCTTAACTTTTTAAGTTTGGGTTGCTTTGAGAAGCTGATAAAAGCTACATTTTTCTCTAGAAAGATGTCATAAAAATTGCATACCATTTCAGGGGCTTCACAGCCCTCCCTTCCCCAAATTCATCCATGAAACTCCAGCAAAGAATTCTTGGCTTAGTGTTTTGAAGTGAAAGTTCTATGAACCTAGAGTAGTAGGTAAGGGTAGATGAGAAAAATTTGTTCTTGTTTTTTTTTTTTTTTTTTTTTTCCCTTAGCCCCTGTCTCTGTGCCACAAAATGAGAATACACTGTTACACAAAGAAAACAGCCCTTGCTTTTAAGAAACTTGATTGAAGTGTAGATACTTCATCACAGACGATTATCATACTCTTGTGGTGTCAAATATTATTATTAGTCTATCAAATTAAGTACTGCCCTAGCTTTGTTGTTACTAGCTCATAGTTTATCTGGGAATGTATCACTTGAAAATTTTGCTGCCAAAATGATTCTAACACCTGGTATTATAATCAAGTACTTACAGTTCTCTTTCTTTCTCCTTCCTCCTACACTCCCTCCACCTCTCTATCTTTTTCTAACACTTCCATCTCATTTGTCTGTTCTCCTCTTCTCCGTCTTTCTTTTTTAGTTCTCTGTCTGGTCTCTCTTCTTTCAGTCCTCCCTATTGTCTGCCTTATCTCTCTCTCTCTCTCTCTCTCTCTCTCTGTCTCTCTCTCTCTTCCTTTTCTCCTAAGCTTTCTTCTCTCCATTTTCATATTCTTAGTGCTCCTGTCTAGGTAAACAGTTAATGTACAGGGAAAACTCTGTATTTAATCAGCCCAAATTACAATGATCAATTTCTTCCTTTATATTGCCATCAGGAAATGCCTCCTAAGGTGTATTATACTAGTTATGCTTTATTTTCATTGGCTTAGAAGTGCAAGATCTTTTGGGGTGATTGATGTCCCCCAGGGCTATTAAAGTTGCCCAAGTTTGCTTCAGTTGCTCCTGGTTTACTTCAGATTAAGCCTGGAAGAAAGAAAAAATGTAGCTGTGATTATTGCCCTTTTTCTTTTCTTTCCATTTTCCACATGTGGAAGATTGCTTAGTAACCCTTTAGGACCCTTAATGACCGTTTGATGTTGGTCTTTATGGCAGGACCACCAGTAATTGTGGAATGAACACTTCACTTCCACAAAGGATGAAACTCACAGGTCCTGCCTCCCAGAGGGGCTCCAGTCATGGCAAAGCTGAGCTCAAGAACCCACACTGGGTGAGATTGAGCCATGATAAATAGCCCCAGTCATAAATAGTTTCTATTTATTGCTAAACAGAAAATATATTTTTCTTCCTTCTTGGGAATAGTTGGGCTACTTGCTTGCTGTTCCTTCTCAGTGAGACTTTTCTCCAAATAGGAACAGTGAATGATGATGTTGAGCTATAAGACATACCTGAATTTCACCTTGTAGTAGGATTAATAGTAATTCCACTAGTGGCCCTTCTAATTGATTTCTCCCATCCTTTCACAGAACCATGACGGCAGCATCGACTTCCGAGAGTATGTGATTGGCCTGGCTGTCTTGTGCAACCCTGCCAATACAGAGGAGATCATCCAGGTGGCATTTAAGGTAATGTCAGCCCCATTGAAAGCATCTTGGTCTGCCTTGTAAACAAGTGTTGACTCTAAGTGTATTATTTGGAAATCAGTGAATCTATTACATGATTTTATAGATCTGCTGTGACATGTACAGGACAATAATGTGATTAAGTCAGTTGCTACTGAGAATAAAGAAAACACAAGCATTTGTTTACGCAAAAAGTCTCTAGAAGTAGCCTAATTAACAGCATCAAGATTGAAGAGCAGGAGATTTCACAAGCTAACTTAAAAAATTATTTCTTTTCAGCTTCCCCATTTTGAAGCCCCAAAGGGGAAATTTATAAATAAACACCACCTGTCACTAGTCATCCTAATTCACTCTCTGGAAAGTTCTGATCTATCCTTATTTTCTCATTCTGTATGTCAGTGATATTTTCAGTGGTACTTTTTTTAAATGACATTTGTTTTGTCATTGTGGCATCAAGTGAACACCATCATAAATGTCCCAATTTCCCACCCCTCATGGCTTCCTGTAGTATCACATATATTTTCACAGCAATACAGGGATCTAAATTGGGAGCTGATGAATAAAATTCATATCCCTGGTTCCCACAGAGCTTGATGAAAGTTTGAATTTTGAGGACCATTTACTTACAAGTGCAAAAGAAGAGGGAAGAATACATTCCCAAAATGTGGGTTCTGTTCAGAGAGTAAAGGGGCTTCATCTAATCAGTATGTTTAAATATGATATGCCCTTTTAGTTCTAAGGTCGTCTCTCAAGTAAAAGAGAAACTTGATTTCTCTCGTTGTCTTGCTGAGCTGTGTATATTTGCCCTTGTTGTATAGCCACGCAGTTCTCTTGCTTTCATCCAGCAGGAGAGCTGTAGACCTTCTCTGTTTCTGTTTTCTTTTTTTCTTTTTTTTTTTCTGAGACGGAGTCTCACTCTGTTGCCCAGGCTGGAGTGCAGTGGCGCAATCTCAGCTCACTGCAAGCTCCACCTCCCAGGTTCATGCCGTTCTCCTGCCTCAGACTCCCGAGTAGCTGGGACTACAGGTGCCCACCACCACGCCTGGCTAATTTTTTGTATTTTTCGTAGAGACAGGGTTTCACCATGTTAGCCAGGATGGTTTTGGTCTCCTGACCTCATGATCCGCCCGCCTCGGTCTCCCAAAGTGCTGGGATTACAGGTGTGAGCCACCGCGCCTGGCCTTCTGTTTCTGTTTTCTACTCATCTTTTCCTGACTTTCTTGGAGAAGAATGTCTCCCTGCATTTCCAAGAAGTCTTTTCCCCCTCTATTATCTAGAAAGACTTTCTTCTTCCAAGAGTTCATTTCTTATGTCTTAGAGGCCACTTGGGATAAGCCTTAGGAATTTTCATGTGCACTACCATTGATAGAAGAGCCCCTGAGTTTACTTTTTATTTCAGATTGGTTTAAACTGAGTTAACTGCTAGGCCTGTAAAGAACCTAAATGGTTGATGCTTAGCAGATGGTCATAAGGCAAGGGCCAGACTTTTTCCAAAGTTTAAATCCTTCAGCTTTTACAGACTTATTCATCATAAAACCTAAAATTACACACATAGCTAACTTATTCTGATCTAGATATTTCTGTTTCTGTTTGGGGATTGTATGTGTAATTGTAAGTTTAGTTGAGCAAATGGTCATTTTTGGTTTACCAATGAAAGACCTGATATAAAATTTGGCCCTTAATCACAGTAATTACGTTTTGAAAGAAGCTGTGAGATTTTTATCTAGCTTAGACCTTGGTTTGGGGAAGAGGAAGGGAAGAAAGGAAGACTTAAAACTATAATTACCTTTTTTTTTCAGTAAGGCAAGAATTATGCTTTACATTGGTTATTTTTTAACCCTCCTTTTCAAGTGTATTTTATGTTTTGGAAGTGTTTTTGCATACTTTTTATTTAGTAGTATCCTTTCATATATAGGATTCTTTTACATACTTTTATTTGGATAGCACTTCACAGTTAATTTCCCATCTTTTACCTTATTTCACCTTCACAGTGACACTTAGAGGTAGAATAGTAGTCAGGATTCTTCATTTGCAAGCAGTAAGATAGACTGGCTGACTGACGCCAAAGTGGAATTATTTGTAAGGCCAGGGAGTAGACTCAAGGGAAAACTCACAGCCAGGCAGATTCAGAGGTCCTGGCTGCAGGAACAGCCTTACACCCTCCCTGGACACTGCAGTTAAAATGCGCAAACTTCAACTCTGTTCATAATACACATTTCAGGGAGGGTCCAGCTGGTCTTGGGCCATGTGCTTGATGGGAAAGACAGAATGTTTTCATTAAGATTCCACATTATTCTGTGCAATGGGGAGATATCAGTCCCCATTTCAAAGGAAACTGAGGTGTTAAACTTTCTACCAGAGTCCAGATCATGCATGGGGTTTACCTTAGATCTAGGAACTTTGTAGTGGGTAGTGATGAGCAAGTGAGGGAAACTGAAGAGTTTAGTGAGGGGAGTTATGGCAAAGGACACATATAGAAGAAATAAAAGTCTCTAGTATGGACCATATAAAAGGAACTTACACAGAAGTGAGAGACACCAAAGCACGAAACCTGGCAAGAATTTAGACTGTTCAGATGAGTTGGTGCAAACTGTTTAGAAATGGAAGGCCTCTGAAGAAAGCTTAGAGCTTGTGAGGAGGGAGCTATGACTGAGTCCCAGCAATTACTGTGTGAAGTCCAAGGCACATGAAGAGCCTGAGGTCTACAGTTTGTGAAAACAGATGCCAATTCACTTTTCACTTTTCAACTATTGTATTCCCTAACTAGGGACTGAGTGGTAAGAAATGGAATTGAAACCAGAGCTTTGTCTGCTGGGGCAACAAATCTCAATTTCAAGTTACATTTTTTTTATCCTCCTACCCTTTAGGGACCATTAAAACATGATTCAGTATTTGCTTATTATTTTTTTCATAGTTATCACCCCTTATCTAATATCTGTTTTTCTCCGTTTTTGATCTTGTATTTGGTCAGAAGTAGAAATCTCAACATCAGGAACTCTAGGTATTATCTGCCTGGATTTGGATGTCCCCTGTACTACTTGCAAGTGGTGTGACCTTGAGAAAAGTTACCTAACTTCCTTGTGCCTCAGCTTTCCCATCTGTAAGATAGGACTGACAGAGGCACCTACCATAAGACTATTGTGAGGGTTGAGTGAGTTAATACATATAAAGTGATTTGAACACTTTTGATCAGTACTTATAAAAAGTAAGTACTCATATAATTAAAAATTCTTGAGACCCAGGAGAGGATTTTGAATATGGAATATTAATTATCCATCAGTTATCCTTATTTTGCTGCATGACTTTCAGTCTACTCCACTCTACTGCCTTTTCCCCTCCTCCTAAAACATATTCAGTCTCTCCCTTCCTAAAATAACCTCTTTTGTGCTTGCGTACTACCCCGATTATCTCTTTCCCTTTGTTTCATAATTTCTTAAAATGAAGAGTCCATACTTCTTGCCTGTGCTTTTCACTTCTATTCATCTCTTGATTCCTATTACAGTCTGGCTTCTGGTCCCCTGAAATTGTTTACTAAAGTCATCAGGATCCTCTGATAATCAAATCCAACAAACGGTTTTGCTTCTTGCTTGGCCTTCCTATGGCATTTTTCTCTGTTGGCCCTTACCACTGTTAGCATCTCTTTCTCTTTCCTGAACACACCCCCTTAGCTTCTAAGATGCATGCTCTTATTTCCTGGTTCTCCTGTCTGGCTGCTGCTTCTAAGCCTTTTCTGTCAGTTCCTCTTCACTACTCATACCTCAACTGTTGTTGTTCCCAGGCCTTGCTTTACTTTGTGCATTCTCTACAGATAAGCTCAAACATGCCCATAGTTTCCATTTTTACCCAAATTCATATCTCAAGACTCCTCAGTTTTCTAAACTGATATTCTGAATCTCTTATTTACTCCTGGAACCTCTGATTCAAATTTAACCTATCTAGGTCTAATTCTTGATCTCATTGGCACTTGTTCTGTTTTCCCACTTTGGTTAATGTAATCAGCTTTCACCCAGTTGCCTAAGCTAGAAGATATCATTTTTACTTCTGTCCTTTCCATCACTACAGACCCCTTATTGATATGCAAGTCTTGTCTTTGCTTTTTATGAATTCTATCCCTTCCTATCCTTCCTACATCTCAAAACCAGACTCTTAATTGGTTTTCCTGCCTCTAGTTTTATCAACCTCTTGCTCCCAATTCATTCTCCATACTCTGCCTCAAAGTTTTCTCAGTTCTCATGGGATCACACTACCTTCACTCCCATTATAATCCTACAGGATTTGGTGAGGAATTATATACACACCATGATCTGATTCCTGTTTGTCTCTATCTCCTGACTGGAGCCCCAAGCAATCACCATTCCCTGTATATTCTGGGAACTTCTCTTAATGTTCTAAGACCCAACTCAAATGTCAGCTCCTGTGAAGCCTTCTTGGACCTCTCTGGGTAGGATTCATTATGCTCCCCATGGAGCTCCCCTGTTATGTACCATCGGTATAGCTCCTGTTTTAATCCTGTCTCTCTCAACCATCAAGCTACAGGTGTTGTGAGGGTAGCAGAGATGATATTTTCTTAATATACATATTTCTAGCCCGTGCCACAGTAGATGTTTGAATTATTAAAGACTTTATTTTCTAAGATTATTCCCTACCACTATGACTCTGAGGGAACTAATTCTTACATTTTATTTTCTTCAGCTCTTTGATGTTGATGAGGATGGCTACATAACAGAGGAAGAGTTCTCTACCATTCTACAGGCTTCCCTTGGAGTGCCTGACCTTGATGTTTCTGGTCTCTTCAAGGAAATAGCCCAAGGGGACTCAATTTCCTATGGTGAGTAGGCAATTTGGCCTCCTGACTTAGTTTACAAGGAGAGCATCCAGACTATGGACTGATGCTCAAGAGTGCTGTTTGTCTTAACTAATTACATTAATAATAGACATAATAGTAATAATGATGACCACAGTAATAATATTAGTAATGGCATAATAGTAATAGCTAATTATTGAGGACTTAAATGCTAGGCACTCTTCTAAACATTTTATATATATTAACCCATTTAACCTTTATAGCAAGCCTATCTAATCGGTATTCTTAATTATTCTTATTTTACTAAGATACAAAGAATGTAAGTAACTTATCTAAGATAATTTAGCTAAAGAACATCAGAACCACAATTCAAAAACCAAAACAGTTTGGCTTTGGAGCCTGCACGATTGACTCTACACTTTAGTGCTCTCTGCTGTCAGTGTGGCCAGGCAAAACTGAACAAGTAAACCAAATAGGTTGCAACTATAGTAAAGGAACATGGACTGAGGCACCAACAATAATAGTAGCTAAACCATTTATTGATGTTTACTATTAGTGACCTATGTAACTTTTCACATTCCTTGTCTCATGCCATCTTGCTAGCAGCTCCTGTGAGTTAGGATCTATCAGGGAGAAAGACCTTGTGGCAAAGTGGCAGGTCTATCCATCAGTAACTGTCTTTTCTCTTGATGGCTCAAGTCCACCCATCAAAACAAGTTGCACTGGGCTGAAGTTTCTCTATATTCACAGTGTAGTTGTTGAGAAACACACCTCAATGGAGAGGGCAAGATAATTGTTTCCCCATCTTGGGTTTGATGTGGTCATGGATGTCAAGCTGGCTTATCTTCCCCAGTCTTTTCCCTGAGGCTGGAGGGAGACTCCTCTTTAATTACTCTTTCCTTATGGTGTTCAAGAGTTTCAGCTTGTTAACTTTCATGGGATGGGAAAAGTAGATTGCATACTTCTCTTACTTTTAATTACTGTCATTTAGATAATTAAATGCCTAGAGCACTTAATCTATTGAGTTCATTTGAAAAAATAGCATAAAATGGGAAGTATAAATACTGAAATGAAACTTATGAGTCGTAAACTCATTTGTACTAATTCTTCCCTGGCTATTTTCTTTTCATAAGTAAGACTATTACTCTAAACTGCTAAATTTTGAAAAACTATTGGAATAACTACTTCAATGGAAGCTAATACTAAAAATGATTTGTAGAAAACCATTATAACCTGTTGATTTAAGTAATTTTGCAGGGAAATCTGCTTTGTTTTTTAGAGTTCAACCTTTTTCTTTGCAGAATACAGAATATCTCCCCTTATTCTGCAAATAGGCAAATCTGCTATTTTTTTTAAGCATGTTTGAAGTATTTAAGTATAATTTTGTTTAAAAAGTAGATATTGATATCTGTCATGAATGTGACCATTTAAATTGTTTAAATGTGATCCTTTAAATCAGGGGTTCCCAACCCTTGGGCCATGGACCGGTACTGATCTGTGGCCGTTAGGAACAGAGTTGCACAGCAGGAGGTGAGTGGCAGGCGAGTGAGCATTACTGCCTGAACTCTGCCTCCTGTCTGATCAGTGGAGGCATTAGATTCTCGTCAGAGTGCATGAACCCTATTGTGAACTGCGCATGCCAGGGATCTAGGTTGCATGCTCCTTATAAGAATCCAGTGCCTGATGATCTGAGGTTGAACAGTTTCATTCTGAAACCATCTCCTCCATCCCCTTTACCATCCATGGAAAAATTGTCTTCCATGAAACCGGTCCCTGATGCCAAAATGGCTGGGGACTGCTGCCTTAAATTAATTTATTTTCAGTTTTCCGTTATTTAAATTAATACTCAAATTCCACGTAGAGTCAATCACAGGACTTCTAGAAATGAGTTACTCTTTAATGCCACTGACATCCCAACAGAGAATCTTGATCTTTTGGCCATAGCACAAGTCTTGAAATTAAAGTTCTTGGTTTCAGTAGATCAACTGTCATGCTCACTTATCTTCGAAGTCACTTAAGTCTTCTATGTGTCTCTGTCATTGAAACAGACTCATGTAGATGAAACTTTATTTTTATTTTTTTCTATAATGTATCCCTAGAAACTAGCAACTTTATTTTGGAAGTTAATAAAGAACAATTAGTAGTTTGCCTGATTTAGAAATAAAAAGTGGTTTATTAATGCAAAACAACATTGCAATTGCAAATAATGATTTGGGTTCAATCTGGTGACTTCCTCATCACTAAGACCTGTTTGTATATTTGGTTTTTTTTGAGATAGGGTCTCACTCCGTTGCCCAGGCTGGAGTGCAATGGCATGATCACAGGTCACTGCAGACTAAGACCTATTTTTATATTCAAGAGTAAGGTAGTCTAATGTGTCATGACGCAGACCCTTGCTTATCAGAGAATTTTTAAAAAGTAAATGGATAGAAATAGGACATTGAGTTAAAATTATTTTATTATAGAGCCAAATGGCAACTAATCCAAAGACCATGCTGTCTTTGCTGTAATAAGCCCAATAAAGTTTTATCCACCCAAAAGTAGAGAGTAGAAGGATTTGAAAATAGAAGACAGAATAATATTTCAGAAACTCCAGGTTACTGGAGGATTGAGGTTCAAATCCTGATAATTAACTGAGTAAGCCTTTTATAGCCCTATCCCAGCTTCTAAAACACTTGAGATTAAAAAGAACTCCTCTACTTGGAGGTCTTGTGGTATGATTATTATATATTATACACTTTCCTATCCATTATTGATTATAAATCAAGGCTCAGCTTTTTAAGACTGTATTTTTCTGTACCAGAGTTAAGGGCTCAAATAATTTTAAAAACGAGTTATAGAAAGTGGTGGGTAATAGAATTTTTAAAACATTTTTTAAATTGCTAGAAATAACAAAAAATACAGAAAACTAAATAAAACATATAAAGCACAATGAAGTTTTATAAAGTGAACACCTGTGTAACTACCATTCAAGTCAAGAAATAGAGCTTTTCCACAACTCCAGAAACCCCTGTGTGCCCTTTCCCAACCACACCTCTACCTCTCTCTTAAAGACGGTTGTTATCCTGACTTAAAAAGGAATCTCTGCCTTGCTTTATTTTACTTTAACAGTTCACCCCTAAAGTATGTCTCTTTAAATATTAAATTTTAGTTTTGTCTAAGTTTTTGAACTTTATATAAATAGACTCATACAATTATGTGTTACTTTATATCTTGCTTTTTTCATTAAACATTATGGCTTTAAGATTAATCCACATTGTGACTACTAGCTGTTCATTCATTTTCATTGCCTTATAGCCTTATGTTCCATGAGTATGACACAATTTATTTATGCATTTCTACTGTTGATGGACATCCAAGTTGTTTTTATTTTTTATCTATTATAAATAATGTTGCTGTGAACATTCTCATGCATGTCTCTCAGAGTACAATATGCACAAATTTCTCTAGGATATATACCTCAGAGTAGAATTAATGGGTCAAAGAGTGTGTATATCTTCAACTTGACTAAATAATGGAAAAACTATCTCCCAAAGTGGTTGTACAACTTTTATTTTCATCAGCAATGTTTGAGTGTTGAGTAGTAGGATTTTGTAATAATTGCATTATTAGAGTCATTTATTAATCTGCATCATGTCAAAAGAAGATTCACCCCAACTTACTGGATTTTTTTTTCTTTCTCTTCTAGAGGAATTTAAAAGTTTTGCCTTAAGGCATCCAGAATATGCTAAGATATTTACAACATACCTAGACCTCCAGACGTGTCATGTGTTTTCATTACCAAAAGAAGTCCAGACAACCCCCTCCATTGCCAGTAATAAAGTCAGCCCTGAAAAGCATGAAGAGAGTGCCTCAGACAAAAAAGATGACTGAAAGCAGTATTTCTAATAAGGAAAACACAGTAGCTTTTGCTTGAAATTGTAAAGGCACTTATTGATAATACTTTTAATGTGTTGGTAATGATGTTTAAAATTGAAAGATTTTTTTTTAATAAAAATGATAGATTTTCTTACTAAAAATGTTTTTATTAACCTTGCTTTTATTGGAAAAAATCAAGCAATATTTCTTTTTCTTTTATGTTATATCGTACTTTACTGATTTGTTTACTGGTGATACATATGTTTTTATGGATTTTCCGGTTTAATTTGCACATACAAATGAGTGCAATGGTCTTACTATTGGTGAGGATTGAGCAACCTTATATAAAGTTTTAAAAATATAAACACTTTTTAATCTACTTTCCTCTAAAAATCAATAATATTCTATTATTTCTAATCCTTTTCCATTTGGGAAATAAGAATGAAGAATCTGAGAATTTTACATCTATAACTTTAAAGATTCATTTTCCATTTAAATTTCAGTGTCTTGGATCACTGAATATGGGAAGGGAGAGCTTCATTAATTAGATGCAACTTCTTAAGAACTTATATTCTCTTTAACATACATCTCTATTGTAGTTTTTTTCTCTTTTGTTTTTTGAGGTGGAGTCTTACTCTGTCACTTAGGCTGGAGTGCAGTGGTGCGATCTTGGCTCACTGCAACCTCCACCTCCCAGGTTCAAGTGATTCTCATGCCTCAGACTCCTGAGTAGCTGGGATTACAGGTGCACACCAACACACCCACTAATTTTTGTATTTTTAGTAGAGATGTGGTTTTGCCATGTTGGTCAGGCTGGTTTCGAACTCCTGACCTCAGGTGATCCACCCATCTCAGCCTCCCAAAGTGCTGGGATCACAGGCGTGAGCCACCATGTCAGGCCTGTTATAGATTTTCTTAACTACTTGCTAAGGAAATCATATCCTTTTACATGAACTACACGTTTAGAACTTGGTTTTAAGACAACTGCTATGGCCAGAGGGTAAATGGGAATTGCCTTATTGAAGGTAACGTTGATTGGCTAATGAGAAAATGAATTGTTTGCCACAGAGTTGAATTTAATTTGAGTTAGATAGTTCAGAATGTAGCACTTGCCCTATAAATGAATCAGATTTGTTCTATTTATATAATATTAGAATTAATATATTATCATCCAAGTGGGAATTTTATTTTGTTAAGTAGACTCTCAAATTTTAGAGGTTGTGTGAAGTATCTCCACAGAAAACACAAAAGGTTTCAAAGTATCACCCAAAGCTAGGGAATCAAAAAACCTACTTTATTAATGCAAAACCACAATTTAAGACCCAGGCAGGAATCCAACAGCAACATTTTTCCTTTAGGTTAAGCAATAATTTTTCTGAATTGCCATTTTTAATGGGTCTCATACATGCATATTGCTAATATCATTCACGTTTGAGATTTTCAACAAAGAACCAATTTATTAATATAATGTACAAAAATAGTTGGCTTATTTTCTGAATTCAGTCTTTGAAATAAAACTCCTTGTTTTGGCTGTGTTTCTGAATATATTGGTGATTCACCCCCAAGCTAATTTTTTAAAGTCATTTTTGAAGTTGGGAAGTCTCATGAGAGATGTTGAAGTATGTGTTTAATCAAGAGTCATGATTTCAAACTAGTTTTACATATTAAGCAGTTAGTGTTCTAATTTAATGGGTAAATGTGTGTTTGGATAATTAAATACCTGAAAATTTTATCCTTAGGTATATGTAATTATTTGCCTCTTATATGTCTTAAAGCTGTTTAAACAAGGTGTTCAATGAGCCAAAACAATTGTTTAAGTAATTAGAACAGTACATCTTTATCATAGTGTCTGTCATATGCAATGAATGTATGTAATACTAAAAAATCATAACTTTTATCAAAGAAAAACCACACATTAATCCTATTAATCATGAAAGCATAGCACTGTAAATTAAAGGTTTTCTATGAGGCTCTTGAAAGTGATCCCATTGCTTTCCTGTTTTAGAATAATATTTTATGCTCTTTATTTCCATTTCTGTGAATGTGATATTTCTATTTTGTGATTATGTTACTGAATAAACAAACTTGCTACATAAAATTCTTAGCAATTAAAAAAATTCTGGTTCTGCTATTTTGTCTTGAATGTAATATACCTTTTTAGTATCATGTTTACATATTTATGAATATGATTAATCATTTTTGTTTGCATTAAGCTTTATGAAATGTCAGAAATAGTTTTACTCTAATGAAAAACTCAAATTTTGCCAAAAGTAGCAATATTCTTAAAGATGTTGAATTTTGACTGGTTGAATTTTATATAGTAACACAAGTCATGATCATCAATATTATTGCAGACCAGGACTCTGCTTATATGCCTTGCTAATAACAAAGATTTCTTTCACAGAGGCTTTTCTCCTCTTAAGATTTAAAGTAAGAATTACATTTTATTAAGTCAGTTAAATGCACCATGGTTTCATAAAATAATATTAAAAAATAGTCTTTGAAGTGAGAAATATTTTATCCTAAAACCTCTAAACCATAAAAATTCAATTGAAACAGTTCTGTTGAAGGATAATGACATACTGACTGCTTATAGACCAAGTTGCTCGCATTATGTGTGTTTAGTCCTCCTCTGCCACTGCTTTTAGAGCCTTATAAGGCTGAGTGTGATGATAATGCTAGCTCTTATGGATATTTAAAGGAGACTGCCTCCCTTTTAGAAGACATCTGGTCTACTCTCTGCATGAGGCACAGCAGTAAAGCTATCTGATTCCCAGAATCAGAACTCTCACCTTCAGACTATTACCGAATGCAAGGTGGTTCACTGAAGGCTATTAATTGATGTTCAAATAGAAGGGCATTGACTATATTGGAACAGATGGACTCTCTACTACAAAAGTCTTTGGGTATTTGTTTCTTATATAGAAAATGCTAACATGGATAGAAAGATACTGGTACAAGACCATTCCCGGGAAAGCAGACTTTTTACATTTGTTTCCTTTTCTGCTCATTTGAATGAATGCCTCAAGTTTTTGTTAAATTGTTAGAGTGATAAATAAGTGCTATGGCTTGATAGAGGTGAAACTCTTCATATATATTCAAAATACATATCACAAACTTTGGTAAATAGGATAGTAATCTGAAGAACTTTTGCCCTTTTTACCTCATTTACTGTAACTCTTGTTTCTAGGTAATCGTTCTCTCCCAACAAACCTCTCAAGTGTCTGTGTAACAACCAACATGTTCTAACAAATTGTCTCCATTGCACTTCAGCCAGCTCCCTATTTTTTATAACGTATTAACTTTATCATTTTCTTATTTTGAAGGAACCTAGGCACATTAGCAAAATTAAAAAGGTAGAGAAAAATATAAACAGAAAAAATTATGTTTACTTCTACCACTTTAAATCAACTATTACCAATTTTAAACATATTTTACTCCATCTTTTTTCAGTTTCTAACATTTTCAAAACAAGAATGTGTATATGCTGTTTTATATACTACTTTTTCACTTATAGCATAACATTTTTCAATGTCATTAAAATTCTCTGCAAATGTAAATTTTAAAAAGTGTACCTACTGTTTTATGGAAATCTGTAACAAACTATGTGTAATCATTCTTCTAATATTAAACATATTGCGTCTAGAATTTATTTCTTCTGGTGGGTTCTTGGTCTCACTGACTTCAAGAATGTAGCCGCGGATTTCAGGGTGAGTGTTACAGCTCTCAAACGTGGTGTGTCCGGAGGTGGTGGTTCCTCCTCGTGGGCTTCCTGGTCTGGCTGACTTCAAGAATGAAGCTGCAGACCTCACAGTGAGTGTTACAGCTCTTAAAGTTGGTGCGAACCCAAAGAGTGAGCAGCAGCAAGATTTATTGTGAAGAGCAAAAGAATAGAGCTTCCACAGTGTGGAAGGGGACCCCAGTGGGTTGCCACTATTTGCCCAGGTGGCCAACTTTTATTCCCTTACTTGGCCCCACCCAGGTCCTGCTGATTGGTCCATTTTACAGAGTGCTGATTGGTCCATTTTTACAGAATGCTGATTGGTGCATTTACAATCTTCTAGCCTGACACAGAGTGCTGATTGGTGCATTTACAATCCTCTAGCTAGACGGAAAAGTTCTCCAAGTCCCCACCCGACCCAGAAGCCCAGCTGGCTTCACCTCTCCATATGAGTTTGACTTTCATTTGGGATCTATTAAAAAATCCAACTCGATATTCCATAGTAGTTCATAATTAGAAATAGTTTGCTAAAACTTACTGAAAAATCTGCTGAAGATTTTATAATTGTTAAAATTGGTTTGAAACTACTTTTATTACAGGAAAATTTTGATATTATTATAGGTTACATAGAGTATGGTAATTTTAACCATAACTTAGCCTGAAGGTAATTTTATGTGAAGTTAACAGGTTCGTGTCTTTTAAAGGTGAGTAGATTTCATCTTTTCAAAATATTTTTTCCTTTGTAAAAGTAACAGACAACAATTATTACAATAAGCAATAATAATTATAATGGCTACCTATTTGGAGTGCCTACTGTGTATTAGTCATTGTGCTAAGTGATGTACAGGCATCTTATTTACAGTTCAACTCATTTGAACCTCAATGATTCATAGTTTTGTTTATCCCTTATTTTATTTAACAAAATTTAAAACTATTTCTAAGTCACTCATTAAATGACAAAGCTTAAATCAAATTTTGTCTGATTGTAAAGGCCATACTTTTAATCATTTATATAAAACGATACAGCTGCCTGATTTATAGAATTTATAGATTTAGCTTCTGCCATATATTTTCTTACTGATGAATGATATATATCAAATGTTGACTTAGTTTTTAAATGGAAGACAGAGGCGGTTTAGAATGGCCTATTTTCAGTCAGCCAAAAATGTCAAAACCTTCTATGAGTAGTCCAGGTACCGGAAATCAGAGACAATTTGAACTTCAGGATACTATAATAACTTTTTTCCTTTGTGGGTAGTGGTGGAGCATGAATTCTCTACTTCTTATCAGTCCTTCTGCTGTGATGGCCCTTTCAGTCACACCTCTGTTCTCAAAATAAGAATATAATCAAAAAAGTAGAGTTTGAGGGAACTGAGGACTAAGTCAAAAGTGGGATACCTAGGACTTCATTCTAGTTACCGTGGAATTATCTCCTTTGCTTTTCTTCCTGTTTGTGCTTTTTCTATCCTGTTAATTCTCTTGCCTTATGGAAAGCACAGTGATTATTTCAAAGCATAAACCAGACATCACTTCTCCAGTTTAATTTTTTTCAAAGGCCCCATTGCATTTTGGAAAAAAAATCAAAATATTCAACATGGGCTACAAAGCCCTGTCACCCTTAAATAGGGTGTTGAGTCTGGCTCGTACCCACAGTCTAAATCTCAACTGTCTCCAATCTCCTCGCTCATTAAACTCCTACCAGCAAATCTTTTCTTCAAACTGGCTAATGCCCTATTGTAACCTCAGAGTTTTGTGCTGCTGTTCTCTTAGCTACAGTGTTACTTCCCCAGGATTTTTATCTGGCTTTCTCTTCTTCATTTAGTCTTTTGAACAAACAGCTTCATTGAGATATAATTCATATACATACAATTTATCCATTTACGGTATACATTTTAATGTTTTTACTATATTCACAGAGTTGTACAACCATCACCACAATCTAATTTCAGAACGTTTTCATCTTGGTTCAGATTTTAAATCAAATGTCACATCATCCAGTAGGAACTCCAATCACTAATTAGAAATGCCCATTATGTTTCTACAGACATTCTCAATCCCACTACCTGTTTTGTTATTACACTTGAACTTACATGAAATTATTTACTTGTTTATACATTTATTGTCTGTTATTCCTAGCACATAGAAGGTATGCCTGACACATAGTAAACACTTGATCTTTGATGAATGAATGAATAATGATAACATTAATTTTTTGTGTGTGTATTCTGCCTTGTATTGTGTAAGATTAGAGACAATCCTTACAACAAACTTGAAAACCCAGACTTATGATCTCTAAAACTCCTATGTAAATTAAGGCTCAGAGAAGTTTCATCACTCGCTCAGAGTTACATAACTGGTGAATACCAGGGCTAAATTTCAAACCCAAGTCTGCCTGACTCTAAATGAAGGGATGTTTGATTCGGCCAAAGTAACCTGAACCCTTAAAATAACCAAACAATTGTTTGACAGGCTTTAACTTCCAGTAACATGGAAACTAGATAACCTGAGAACCTGCTGGGCACAAAACCCCTAGAATACTGAACACAATATCACAAACGTATTTTGAAATGCATAAGATGAACATGCAAAATACTGAGGGAACTCTTCATTGGCCAAAAGTGGAAAGCAGCTGAAAACCAGAACTGTGTAAAAGCCTAAAAGTTACAGTTGTCCTGTAGACATTTGTCAATCTCGGTAACAAAGGGGCTTAGTATTTTTTGGCTATGGAAGACAAAAAACAAGCTTTTTGTATAAGGTGGGAATGTTAAACTCAGACCTCATGGGAGAAAAAACAGATGAAGGGTTAGAGTCTCAGTAAAAGAAAGAACTGGAAAAATCCATCTTCTGACAAAAAAGACAAGGAGGAAAGTTTTCCGTCTTGGGCTGGGTGCTTGGTTGGAGCAGGGGGAAAGAATCTCTGATTTTTCAAAAAATTTCAATTAAAAAATGTTTCAAAACTCATTTTATGGCCCAGTCTGTGTATATCTTGTTGAATGTCCCATGTGCATTTGAAAGGAATATGTATTCTGCATTTGTTGAGTGTAATGTTCAATAAATATAAATTAGGTTCGGTTAGTTGGTAATGCTATATAAACCCTCTATAGCCTCACTGACTTTTTGTCCGCTTGTTCTATAATTATTGAAAAGGGGATATTGAAATTGTCAACTGCAACTATAGTTTTATCAGCAGTCACTTTGTCTGATGTCCTGCCCTTAGATTCATAATCACTTATGATTTTCATAGTCTTGATGAATTGACCTTTTTATCATTATGAAATATTCCTCTTTAATTCTAATAATGCTCCTAATGTTACCATAGCTACTCCAACCATGCCAACTTTCTTATCATTAGTGTTTGCATGGTTTATATTTTTTCATCCTTTTACTATTAACTTGTGTCCTTATTTTTTAAATACATCTCTTAAATGAACATTTTATGACTCATTCAGGCCTTGATTTTTTTATTCTATCTGACACTTTCTGTCTTTTAATTGGAGCATTTACTCC